TATAAAAAAAGAGGGGGGGGGGGGGGGGGGGGGGGGGAAAGCCACCCAATGCGTTCAGCATGAGCAGTGCATCCTGTTTACACTGGAAACCAGGAGTCCTGCTGGAGAATTGCAGGCATTGGCACTGGTTCATTTCTACCGTTTACATAGGGAAACTGAAATTCCCGTCCTAAACCCATGTGAGCTCATGGATTTGCACTGCTCTTGGCATTCTCTCAGCAGCACCTCATGGGTCATTCAGTCTTTCCACTCCTCTTCTTTGCTGGACAGGCTCGGTGCATCATGTGCGGTTTCTCTCTCCGAGACTCATACTGCTGCACTGGCGGCTTTTATAGATACTAGGAAGGAATAAGGACTTGTAGAGTGTTGTTTGCTTGTCTTAGACAAGAGTTTCTCATAGTCCGGTTTGTACAGTTCTTCATGCTTTCCTAGCATTCCAGGCTCACCTCTAAAACCAAAGCCAAGGACTGGTCCTATGGCTCCCTTTCTATAGTGGGTTATTGTATACCCTATTGTTATATTTGATTAGCAAGAAATTGTAACAACTTCTAAGAGAAATAGACATTTTAGGAGAGATAAATTGATCTGCATTTGTAATATGTGGGAACATCAGCGGGCTGGATTATTATCCTTAATTGACACTTATTTGCGGATCTCTAGTATATTTATTAGCAATTTGGTCATTTGACTAGTCATATTAACTTCAGTGAGTCACAAGACCACAGCAACATCCTTTCGTGGCCATCCTCCTTCGGCAAAAGAGCTAAAATGAAGTGATTTTTCCAAATCTGACACTTCTGGGATCTATTTAATTAAAAACACGTTACAGTCTTTTGCAGAGCCAGAGGCTAGTGTGATGGGTAGCGCCTTGATGAAAACAGCATGACAGAACACAAACCTGAACCAGAAGAGGTTCCTGGAGCCCAGGAGGAGACAGACTCCCCTACCCAGAGCTTTGTCTGGTGCTGCAGAAGAGGATGCCCCTGAGCACAGTATTCTGGTGATCAGGAGTATATTTCCGAAAAAAGTCAATAAAAAAGAACATGGTCAACACTTCTGGCTCCCAATAATCCGAGAGAGACTTTGTATGTCACCACCAAGAGCTACCAAAGACAGAGGCGCATCAAGATTGGAGCCATTTTCTTACAGCTATAAAAATTATCCTACAGACATGAAACACCACGTGGTCATGGAGACATGATTGTTAACATAAATACAAAACCTCAGGATGTGCAGATGTCATGATTTTTGATGGAAACACCTCAAACTGCATTTTTTCCCTGTGCAGGTGTTTAGATATGTGCCATTTTGGGCTATTCAGCTGGATTTTTTTTCTAGAAAAACACTCTTTTTCATAAACCGCTGAACACTTTGCTTTAGAATATGACACCTCTGGATTTCTTTGCATCACTTGGTTTACCTAAAAGCCTAAGTAAGCTTTCTTCCTCTGTGGCATCCAGCACTGGTCGGCATCAGGGATTTCATTTTGTTTATGTGCAGCATACCATATAATACACTACCCACATTTTGATGAAAAAAGCATTTTCATAGAAATCAAAGATTCTCCCTATATTCTCAGCATGGCAAAGGCTTCCCAGCCCACTCTCCTGCAGTTTGTTGCAATTAAATTTTAAAGTCTGGGGCTTCATTACATCCGACTTTCCCCTCTCATCATTCCCTACCACAACTACCCAGGGAAGGTGCGAGGGTGTGATCCAGCACCCAGAGCAGCTTCCAGGCGGTCCTGGTCTCCAGGCTGCTGGTCTATCGCTCCGGCTTTGGAAATTGTCGCATAGTTGAGATGCCGGAAGGCTGAGTATAGAATGCAATTAGCCTCACATGAAAACAAGTGGCTTGTCTAGTCCATGCCCTAGGGACTATTTGATCAAGTAATTAGATCATTACTTCTGGGGCTGAGAGGAACTCAAATACGGCACTATCCACCTCTTTTCCTGTTTACTCAGGAAGGTGAGTGGTTAGTGAAGAATCCTAAGTGAGCTTCTGAATGCAATTAAATCTGAAAAAGAGGAATTAACTGTGGTTATGGAAAAAAAACCCTCATCTGTTTTGTCTTTTGTCTTCTGACTATTGCAGATACTTGCTTTGATTTCACAATATTTTTGAATGGGAATGTAGCTTTCCTTAGATTTTCTTACATTACTGATTAAAACTGTGTCCTGATCTCTGAGGAATACTTTTTAGAGCTCAGGGAACATTGCCTGACAGAGCAAGAACTGAGGGTCTACTACATTTGCTTATGCCAAACAGCAATTTTCTCCCAAACTGTTCCAATAGTTTCATAGATTACTATAAACATTCATGAAGGACATCTGTTTCTCTACCTACGGCACAATCTTGTGATGTTCACATAAAAATGAAGTGTCTGCTCTCTGCTAATGGTCTCAGCTTTTTAAAATCTGAGTTTCTATGTTCATATGAAGGATTAAATATAATGCAAGCATCATGCCATCAGAAGGAAGCTACAGAGAAATAGCTTAAGGGAAAATCTTATCTGAATGCCATTTTTTCCACCTACTGTTTCTAATTTCCCAGAAGATTGTTCCTTTTGATTTGGGGCAGGAACAAAGGAAATCATTGCTTGCACAGAAACTTTTAATGAGTTTTAAAGGAGTTTTGGAGTCAAATCAGACCTCCATAGAGAGGTGATTAGGAAGCCTGAATTGGTTTGGTATTTCTATTGTATAGAATTTGTGCTTAGGTAATGCCTTGAGTACTTGCCAAAGTCCAGACACCCACTGTGGCAAGAGCCGTACAACCAGTGGCGAGAGCCAGGGTCTGCCACAACCTGCTGACAGAGGAGGACGGAAACAGAAGAGGTGCGAGGGTGGAACAATTTGTGTGAGGTCGGATCTCCCCATTCTGCACACAACGCCACGTCCATGGGGTATGATTTATCATGTCCCACTATTGGCTGGACTCCTCTACTGGAAAAAGTGAGACAGTGATAATTGCAGGTTAGTCACCAGCCA